AAATCCACACCACTTTTCACCACCCCGACACGCGAAGTCGTTTCGTAAACGCGCCCAAAGAAGGAATCGAACAGGGCAAAGCTGTTTAATAAACGCCCAAGGCCGTTTAATAAACGCGAATTGTCCGGTCCGGGTGGTTTTTGCCTCCCTTGAGAGGGGGATGGAGCAGGCGCGCGGGCTCGCTGGGGGGACTTTTCCTTTCCTCCCGTTGCTGCTGCGCGCGGCGCTTGACGCCGACGTCGCGCCGTCCATCGCCGGTCGGCTCCAATGACGACGTGACGGGCGGTCGTGTGCAACGACGGGAGAGAAAGAACGGTCGTATGCAACCTGCGCACGCCTCGCTTTCGCATGGGGGAAACGGGTCCTGGATCCTGGGGCCTTCCCCCAGGACGAGATCTTCATCCTGAGACGTTTTCTGGCAATCCCGGGGCCCGTGGAGGGCTCCGAGAGCCCGAAAACGGCGAAACACCTCAGGACCGTTTTCCCCTGTGGCGATCGCTGCAGACCGTCACGGCACGGCGCCATCGCGCCAGCCGCAGGAGGCCCGGGAACCTGGCAAGAGCTTCCAGCCCGCGGGGAAAGAACCCCTGCCATGGCTGTCGCATTTTCGGCAGCCTCGGTGCCAGGGCTCCCGCGCGCCTGGGAACGCCATCGGGCGACACACGCAGACACACACACACACACACGCACACAATTGACCCGCGAGACGCCGCACCCACCGCGTAGCAATGCCGAACACGGGCGTGGATCACGACGCGCGGCGTCTACTCGGGGGGAGCACTCAGGGGCGAAAGAAACGATACAATCCTGCGCTTCTCCCTGCTGCTTCAATGGGCTGGCATGCTGGGGCCGCGCTGAATGCCTATTCGGGCGCCCCCCCCCCCGCTGAAGTGGACTGCGCGCCGCCAGATTGGGCGTCTTGGGATACCTCTTGGGGCCTTTTGGGGCGCTGTGAAGCCCGCAGAGAGCACTCGGAGAGAGAAGCCCGAGAAGCCCCCTCCCCCCCCCCTGGGGAGCCACGTCCCCCTGTGTGTTGTCGGGGTTCTGGTTCGGGGGCCATGGTCATCGTTCGTCCCACAGTGCAATATCATATGCGCCCCCAATGTGTGTGTATATGTATGTATGTGTGTATGTGTATGTATGTATGTATGTATGTATGTATGTATGTATGTATATATATAAATGTGGATATATACAAACAGTGAGAGCAGAGAGAGGTAGAGAGAGAGAGAGATAGAAAGCGAGAGAGAACCGATATATATATATATATATATAGAGAGAGAGAGAGAGAGAGAGAGAGAGAGAGAGAGAGAGAGAGAGAGAGAGAGGGAGAGCGAGAGAAAGACAGAGAGAGAGAGAGAGAGAGAGAGAGAGATAGGGAGAGACATTTACATCGGGCAACAACCCACTACATAGTTTGGGTCCGCACCAACAAACATTGGTATCCTGGGACTGCTTATGCTTATCTAAGAGGGAGGGAGGCAGGCGCAACAGGAAGATACCGAGGACAGGGATGGTGGAGGGCGGGGGGAGGGCAAGGGAGGGAGGAGGAGGAGCAGAGATGGAGGACTGAGGAATGGAGGGAGGAGGATGAGGAGGAATGGCAGGGATGGGAGGGGAGGGGGGAGGAGAAGTCTGAGGACGAACAATGGGAACGCGACAGGGAGGGCATGAGGGAGGGAGGAGGACAAAGAGGGGAAGGGATGAATGGGGAGGCGGATGGAGGGAGAAGGAAGGGTGGAGGATGAGGAGGCCGGAGCATGAGCAATAGGACCAAAGTCGTAGCGTCGGGGCAGGGCACCTTGCGCACCTGCCCCAAGACCTTGGGCGTCAGGGGCTTCAGCTCCAACTGGCGTGACGTCGTCGTCGCTGTTCCTCGCTCGTGACCATCGTCGTCCTCGCACTCGTCCTCCTCCTCCTTCCCCTCCTTCTTCTGCGCCTCTTCCCCCCGCCCTCCCTCGCCACCCCTCTGCGCTTCCCTTCTAATTCCTCGCTTGCGCTGTTGCCGAGAGAAGCTGGCAAAGGGGGGAGAGGAGGGGAACGCGAAGGCAGATGATAACAAGAAGAAGGGAAGATGAGGAAAAGCCAGAGACGAGATGGGGATAGAGGGCAGAAGGGTGGAGAGAACCGCACATGGAAGTCGAAAGGAAGGTATAAGGAGGCAGGATGTGAGGGATGGAACTATTAGAGGGATGAGGAAAAAGGTTTTGTGAAAAGGAAATGAGGGGAACGGGAGATCGGGAAGGGGGCGAACCGAGATTGGAAGGGGAGGGACCGGGGCGGGGGCGGAGGCAACGTATGCAAGACAAAGGCAGGATAAACACATATTCGGATGAGGACGAGCGTGGAATTCCTGAGAAATGGTGAATCCGGAGGGTTTAACCGGGCGGCGCGGCCGTTCTCAGAGCATTCTGGAGCGGTTTATCCCCATCCTAGGCCTGCCTGAGGGAGGTACGACGACGACCTCCCCGACCTTTCCTGGGGGTGTTCTGGCCTGAATTTCGAGGCGACTCCAGCCTCGGCGACGAAGGCGCCCCCCATGAAGGCCCAGGACGTGCTCGAAAGTCGGTCCTCGAACCACGTTCCTTGAATCTCGAGCCTCGACCCCGACGCCGACTCGACCCCGCGACCTCTCCTTGGGCGCCTTCTGATCACAATGCCGATGCGAATATCCAGCCCTGGCGACCAGGGCGCCCGGAGGTCCAGGAGGGCTCGACCACGCGCTCGACCCTCGACCCTCGAACCTCGACGACGACGGTGACGACAGCGACGGCCACGTGACGACATCGGCGACGACGAGACGGAGAGGGAGGAGATGAGCAGGTGTAGGGAGGAGGGAGGGGAGGGGGAGAACGAGGCTCCCTCCTCCCATTTTTGATGCCCAGTCTGGGTTCCTACTCCCCTCATCCCCCCTCCGATCCTGCCCGCTGTCCCCCCCCCCGACGGCGGTGGTTGAACGCTGAACGTTTGTGGTCATCGCAGGTGCGAGGAACGGCCGTTCTGCGAAGGAAGCGGGAAGGGAGGCCAATGAGGAGGATCGGGGATGAGGGGGGCGTGTAGAAGAATAACCAAGCCAACATCAACCTAACATTTCGAAGGTCCGCGCTGATTTGTTGGGTCGGCGCTGCACCCCCGCGGATTGCGCCAGGGGCGGCGCCAAGGGGGTGCGGCGCCGATCCAAGAGAAACGCCCAGACCTTCGAGCTGTTACGTAGATGCCGTTTTCCCCCAAGCAACTTGTCTGTAAACATCCAATGTGATTCTCCCAACGCCCTGTGAGGCATGCCAGTCCCCCGAAATCGGTGGCCCGTCGTGGCCCCCCACAGCCGCGGCCCCTGATAGGAAGCCCTTCGTGGCCCCCCATCGTGACCTGTGTAAAGCTGTCGAGGACCTCCTGCGGCAGGGGTGCAGTTGGATGGGGCCCCGTGGCTTCGGGTTGCGCACAGACAGCCTCCCAGGTAGCCTTGGCTGGCCCCAGCAGGTCCCCGAGCAGTCCCAGCTGGCATCGACAGGCCCACCGGTCGGTCTCAACACCTCAGCCATGGGGTGCGGAGCGCCCCAGGGGCGCCGACGGAGGCGGCGCCAGGGTTTCGAGCCCGAGACCCAGACCCCCGACGTAATGCTTTTTTCCATCCATTCTGTGTTGATTTAGGTCCTCGTTTTGAATCAGCAGCGCCGAGCGTCCTCCCTCCTCCTCTCCTCCTCCTCCTCCTCCTCCTCCTCCTCCTCCTCCTCCTCCTCCTCCTCCTCCTCCCTCTCTCCCACCACCCGACTTTGGCACATCCCTCACATGTTTCGTAGCCCCATAGGGAACCCCACCTAAGGCCCCAGTGGATGCGCCCGCATGCCGCCGCCACCACACTTTGGCGCATCCCTCGCACGTTCCGTGGCCCCATGGGGAGCTCCGCCTGAGGCCCCAGTGGTTGCGCCCGCATGCCGCCGCCACCCCACTTGGGCGCACGCCTCACACGTACCGTGGCCCCAGAGGGAGCTTCACCCTGGCCCCAGCGGTTGCGCCCGCATGCCGTCGCCACCCCACTTTGGCGCACCACCCACACGTTTCGTGGCCCCAAGCGGAGCTCCACCTAAGGCCCCAGTGGTCGCGCCCGTATGGCGCCGTCACTCCACTTGGGCGCACCCCTCGCAAATTTCGTTGCCCCTGAGGGAGCTCCACCTGAGGCCCCAATGGTTGCGCCCGCATGGCGCCGCCACCCTTCTTTGGCGCATCCCTCACACGTTGCGTGGCCCCACAAGGAGCTCCACCGAAGGCCCCAGTGGTTGCGCCCGCATGTCGCCGCCAGCCCACTTGGGCGGCGCACCCCTCGCACGTTTCGTGGCCCCAAACGGGGGCTCCATCCAAGGACCCAGCGGTTGCGCCCGCATGCCGCCGCCACTCCACGTCGCCACCACCTGACTTTTGGTACACCTCTCACACTCCTCGTGGCCTCCAAAGGAGCTCCACCTAAGGCGCCCATGGCTGCGTCCGCATGCCGCCTCCACGGCACTTTGGCGCTCCCTTCGCAGGTTTCGTGGCCCGACAAGGAGGCGCCGCTATCCCACTTGGGCGTACCCCTCGCAAGTTTCGTTGCCTCATAGGGAGCTCCACCCAAGGTCCCAATGGTTGTGCCCGCATGCCCCCCCCCAGTACCACACTTTGGCGCACCCCTCACACGTTTCGTGCAGGGAGCTTTATTTTAAGTCCCAGTGACTGCGCGCGCATGCCCTCCCCACCACAATTTGAAACACCCCTCGCACGTTTCGTGGTCCCATTGGGAGCTCCACCTGAGGCTCCAGTGGCTGCGTTCGCATGCCTTCTCTACAACATTTCGGCACACCCCTCACACGTTTCGTGGTCCCATAGGGAACCCCGCCGAAGGCCCTAGTGGCGGGAATCGCATGCGTGACCGCGCCTATTTCGGCACACCCTTTGCACGTTTCGCGGCCCCTTAAGGAGTTCCACCGAATGCCCCATCGGCAAGAGTCGCATGCGTGACGGCGCTCATTTTGGCACACCCCTCGCACGCTTCTTGGCCCTACAGGAGCTCCACCAAAAGCCCCGCCGCCTGCTGCTCCCCAGACCGCGCTCTGCTGATCCCCAGGGCCAGGCCGACAGACGCTCAGATCAGCCGTGAAGGGTACCTCCAGATGTAATGCGTTGCGGCTGACCCCTGCGACCCCATCAGTAACCTCTCTCAGTTCTTCTCACGCATGCCTTAATTCTTTTGCTTGCCCACCTCCCTGAGTTTCCACCTGTCTTGCGATACTCGCAGCTGCACATATGGTTGCGCCCTTCTCTAAGCTCATTTCATGACGTCGGCCCCCAACGGCCTCGACCCATCCCCGTGACCGTTTTTTCATCTGGAGTCATTTCTGGACGGTCCCGAGGCTCGGTAAGGGCCCCCCGAAAGGCGAAAATAGAGAAACATTTCGAAGGTTTCACTGGTTTCACCTGGAACCAATTTTCGATGGTCCCGAGGCTCGGTAAGGGCCCCCAGGACGGGAAAACTGGCGAACAATCTATTGAACGGCCCTTGCCGAGAGGAGGGAGGACCTGCTTAGACGACGGCGCGCCTCCAGCTGCCGCCGGCCCCGCTCGGCGGGCCCGAACCTCCGGGCGGGGGCGCCGGACGGCGCCGCCGGCGTGGCCGCGTCGGAGGGCGGCGGCCTGAAGGGACCGCCGTCGTCGTCGTCGTCGTCGTCGTCGTCGTCGTCGTCGTCGTCATCTTCGTGCTGCGCAGAGCCTCCTGGTGTCTTACAGCCCAAAAATATTTCGTACAATGGTCTAGCAAGGGCTCCCAGATATTCGGCCGCGTCCAAACGTGCGACGAGGTTCGGGCCGCTAAGGCCACCGCGTCCGACCATCCGGAGGCCGCCCTCTGAACTATCCAAGAAACTTGCCTCGGGCTTAGGGCCAACATGTCCGAGACCTCGCCGTCCTCGGAGATCAACCGCCTGGCGTTTTGGACTTGCCACCCCAGCGCTTGAATAGTTTAGTGAAAACATGGGCTGGGGAGCGGACGGAGGCCCAAGGAAACCTTTTCCTTTAGAGCTCGTCTACAGCCCATTCAAGGATTCGCCGCGTGAGTCTAGACGAGGCTTTCCGCCCAGAGCGGCCTGGCACCACACATATATGTCTGTCTGTCTGTCTGTCTGTCTGTCTGTCTGTCTGTCTGTCTGTCTGTCTGTCTGTCTGTCTGTCTGTCTGTCTGTCTGTCTGTCTGTCTGTCTCTATATGCATGTATGTATGTATGTATGTATGTATGTATGTATGTATGCATGCATGCATGCATGCATGCATGCATGCATGTATGTATGTATGTATGTATGTATGTATGTATGTATGTATGTATGTATGTATGGATGTATGTGTGTATGTATGTATGTATGCATGCATGCATGCATGCATGCATGTATGTATGTATGTATGTTTGTGTATATATATATATATATGAATGTATATATATATATACAAACGACGAGGGGGCTCCCCAGGACTGGAGGATTGAAAATCTCAAAAATCTAAAAAATCCCAATGACATCACAGGGGTTCTGGGATTCTTGACCCAGAAATCCCAAACATCCCAAGGAAATAACAGGGTTTGGTGCCCCCAGGCTTCGCAAACATTGTGATTTCACAGGGATCGCCGCTCCCTCGAGTCTCCCCCTCTCTCTCTCTCGCTGCCCCCCTCAGTCTCTGTCTCCCCCCCTTTCCTCCTCCTCCTCCCCCTCCTCCTTCTATAAGCAGAGAGAAAGTGTGTGAGAGGGAAAGAGAAAGCTTTCTCTCTCTCTCTCACTCTCTCTCTTCCTCTGTCCCCCTCCGTCTCTGTCTCCCCCCTCCTCCTCCTCCTCCTCCTCCTCCTCCTCCTCCTCCTTGGAACCAGAGAAAGGTACAGAGAGAGAGAGGGAGAGAGAGAGAGAGTGAACCGTTCAGCGACCGATGCAAAATAAATGGGTGCTGGGGGGGGGGGGGGGGGCTGCGGCGCGTATATATATATATATATATATATATGTATACTCATATACATATACATATATATAATAGATATACATATATATATATGTATACATACAGATATATCGATCTCTCTCTCTCTCTGCATATCACCTCTTTGTGATGGAGCCCCTGGGGACCCATGGCCTGTCCAGCCGTGGTAGTGTACGAGCGGAACCAAGGGGAAACTGTACATGTTAAACTGTGTAGGGATCTCATGGCTGCACGTCGGAGCCCGTGGACATGCCGCCCTTTGAATCCTCCTACACCACTCCCCAACCAGCTGTGTAGCTGGTGGATCGTAGACTTTTGGTGGCTGTCTTGGCCCGAATCCCAAGGCTGCTCCAGGTATCCTGCAAGGCATCCCCGATGGCTGAACTGGAGGCTACGTAGTGGGTCTTTGTGTTCTCCAAGACCAATTCCAACTTCTTGTGCCCTCTGGCCAATTTGACCCCCGCCGGACCTAGCTCGGTTACAGGCGTGTCCTTGGTGCCTAAGCACTGCGCCTGACATCATCAGCGACGTTCCCGATCATCACATTGCGGTGTTGGTCCAAGACGTCACGGAGCAGACGAAATAATATTATTTTCGCAAACGGCGTGGCCAGAGAGCACCCTGCCAGGATGCTTCGGACACATCGCTGGTTCCACTGTGGACGCTGAAGACCCCAGGTCTTGAGTAGAGTCTGCATGTCGCGAGCGCGAGCGCGAGACGCTTGCTGCGATCCGTCGCGCTGGCCTCCAGCATGAGTGCATTGTGGGAGTTACTCGCTCGTAAAATTTCACGAGGTTAATGAGCGGGGTGGCGTGCAGAAATCATTCAGAGCAACCAGAAACGCATGCATCTCATGTCCCCAGCCCGCCCCGTCACGCGTCCTCCCTGTCGTGCCCCAGGAGCAGGGCAGATCGCGGGCCCTCTCCCCTTCCCTCGCTATGTCCTGGCGCACGCGGGCCCAAATTCTGCATAGAGAGGCCTCACACATGCGATGATTGTCGGGCGCAGGTGAGGAACTCTGAAACCTCTTTTCCAGACGCCCTGCGCATCGCATGGCCGAGCCATAATTCGACAGGGAGCACCGGCCAACTTCGCGGGTTGACTCCATCTTCTCCAAATCCAACTTCGCGCCGGAAGCTCTTTAGGGCCACGTTGAGACCGTCGACCGTGGGAAGGGAGTCGATTCATGCCGGCCTTTCTTGGGCCTCAGTCTTGATTGATTCAGTGTCTACCCAATGCTTACCCCTATCTACTCTGAGAAATTTCACTGCGTTATCTCATTGCAAAGGCAGGCCGTCCTTGGCAAAGGGCGCGGTCAGCGGCGCTGCCTCCCTGGCAGACTTGTGGGCAGCCCTGCGACCGCCAAAGGCTGCGTCGCGGGTCCGAACGCGCTGGCGCTGCCAGCGAAGCCGCGATTGCCAGTGTGAAACTCGACGCGATATTTTGTCAACGTCGTTGGTGACAGTCTCAAGAAAAGCGCCGCCAAGGGCCCGCGCTATCCAGCGGAGAGGGCGCGCTCCCTACTGCTGCTAGGTCAGGCCCGATGGCCTTGGGTTCCAGATGCTGGATGGCCTTCAGGAGCCCCAGCAGGTGGAACAGAAAACCGAGCTTTCAGGACAACTCCCAAAAGCCCTCGGGTCTTGTGCAAAAAGACCTGCAAGGCCCCCCTTTCCCTGGCAGCAAGAGAAGTTTATTCCTCCCACCGCCTTTGGAGAAGAACCCGCAGTTGGACCCCTCGCCCACGGCGACCTGCCAGCCCGCGACAATTATCATCGGCGCCCTCGCACGGATCGAACTGATAACGAAGCTCATCCTCCATCTGGGTCAGCCACTCCTTCCAGACCCCCTCCAGAGAAACAGTACTGTCATGCTCGCCAGCGCCCCGAGACCGCGTGTGCTCGAGAGGGGCCTTGAAGCAATCAGTGGCCGGTCTTGTCGGGACCCCTCCCCGCGCTGGCGCTGGCGGCAGCGCTGGCGGCGGCCAGCAGCACCGACGGCGGGTACGCAGCGACGATTACCAGAGAGAACCAGGAGGCCGCAGAGGGAACACGCAAATCGCCATATCGAGCCCTCGCCCCCCAGAAGCCACCGAGAGGCCCTGAGGAAGGTCCGCGAGGCTTCACACATGCTTCTCATGCGTCCCCGAAATCGCTCTGACGAGACCTCCAGAGGCATCATCCATTAGAACTTTGACCTCAAGCCAAAACACGGTGGCGGGAAGAGCCGAAGGCCACACCACCACCGCCACCACCACCACAAAACACCACACCACCACCACCACCACCACCACCAGCACCACCACTAGCACCACCACTAGCACCACCACTAGCACCACCACCACAACCCACCACCACCACAACCACCACCATCACCACAATCCACAACACCACCACCAAAAACGCACCACCACGCTACCACCACCAGCACCACCACAACCCATCACAACACACCAGAATCACCACCATCACCACCACAAATCACAACACCATTACCACCACCACAACCACAACCATCACCACAACTACCACCACCATCAACCACTACACCACCGCCACCACCACGACCACCACCACCACCACCACCAACACCCACCACCCACCACTACCACCAGCGCCGCTACCAGCAGCACCACCACTACCACCAACACCACAGCCCACCACCACCACCACCACCACCACCACCACCACCACCACCACCACCACCACAAACAACCACGCCACCACCACCACGGCCACCACCACTACCACCACCACCACCGCCACCACCTCAACCCACCACCACACCCACCACCACCACCAACCACCACCACCACAGCCACCGCCACCACCACCACGTTCACCACCACCACAACTCACCACCACCACCACAACAACCCACCACCACTACCACCACCACAACCACAATCTACTACACCACCACCACTACCGCCACGACCATCACCACTACCAGCAGCACAACCCACCACCACCACAAAACACCACATCACCACCACCACCATCGTCATCACCACCACCATAAGTATCACCTCCACAAACCACCGCCACCACCACAACTACCACCATCACCACAACTACCACCACCACCACAAACTACCACTACCAGCCACCACCGCAACCGCCGCCACCACCACAACCACCACCACCTACCACACACCACCACCACCACCACAAACCACCATCACCACCACCACCACCACCACCACCAACACCACCACACCACCACAAAACCACCACTGCCACCACTGCCACCACAAACCACCACCACCCACCACCACAACCACCACCACCACCACAACAAACCACCACCACCACAACCACCACCACCGCCATCACCACCACCACAACCCACAACCACCGCCACCACCACAAACCACCACCAGCACACCACCACCACCACCACCAACCACCACCAACCACCACCACACCACCACAACAACAAACCACCACCACCACAACCACCACCACCACCACCACCCCCACCAAAACCCCTCACCACCACCACCACAACCACTACCACCACCACAACCACCACGACAAACCACCACACCACCACAACCACCACCACCACCACCACCACCTTAACCCACCACCCTCACCACCACAACTACCACCACCACCACCAGAAACCACCGCACCACCACCACCACCACCCCCACCACCACCACCACAACCTGCCACCACAGCCTGCCACCACAACCGCCACAACAACCACCACCACAGCCACCACCAACCACACCACCACCACCACCTCCACCGCCATAACCACCACCACCACAGCCCACCACCACCACCCCAGAGAGGCCCCAAGAGACGCCCAACAGGCGCCCAGGAAGCTGCACAAATGCCCGTCAGAGGCTCCCGAGAGCCCTCGGACGAGACTCTGACCCAAAACCATCCAAAACCAAGGCACGGTGGCGGAGCGTCGTCGTCATCGTCGTTGCCGTCCTCGTCGACGCTCCCCGCCGCCGCCGCCCGCCGCCGCCGCCCACCGCCGCAAGCGCAGGCGCTGGCCCCAAAAAGGACGTCGTCGTCCCCGCCGCCGCCGCCTGCCGCCGCCGACGCAGGCGCCGGCCCGAGGAGGGGGAGAGAGGAAAAGTAGGGCCGGGAAGGAGGGGGAGGGGAAGGGGGGGGTGTCGAACCCCCCCTCCGTCTATCCAGGGGGGGGGGGTCCAGTTCAACCCCCCCCCCTCTAAGCGACCACAGAAGGCGCTCTTTCTACTGACTGGACCAAACCTTTGGCGCTGGTACAACCCTTGCCAGCGGCCTTGCCCTTGTGGCTTGACTTGGCGAGGGGCTTCGTGCTTGCTGCGCTGGGGCCCGAGGAGTCAGATGCTGACAATCCAGTCCCTGGGGTTGCTGTCGTAGAGGCTCGATTTCCTTCGACCTTCGCGGCGAACTCACCGCCTTGCCTGCTTGGCTGGTTCATCCGTGCGGGCACTCTTAGAGTCGAACCTTTTCTTCTGTTTGACTTGCTCCTCATGGATCTATTCGGCCGTGGACTTGAGCTCGCCAAACCAATCTTTGACCAGCTCCGAAAGTGTACCCTGTCAGGCATGTGTGCAGTCTCAGGCCTCGCGTCGATCCTCATCAGTAACAACATCGTCCAATGACTCGAGTCCGAAGAGCCCCACGTCGCCGAGCTCGATCTGAATGCCACGGAGAAGGGCTGCCAAGTCTAGTTTGTTGGAAGCACGAGCAGTCGGAGGCGTGGGGTCGCTCTCGACCACGACGACGCCCGCCAGCTTCTTGACCGCCGCCTGGTAGACAGCTATGGCCAAGTCCAGCTCCCAGGAGCACCTCGCTACTTCTTCCTGGGCCTCGGTGTACTGGGCCTCGAGCTTCTCGCACTTGTCGATCGCACGTCGGAGTGCGCCTTCGGTACGCTGTGCGCTGGTATTGGCCCTGCCCACGGACATGTTCGACTCGTTTTGCTGCTTGCGCCAGTCGTCCAATTTGAGCTGGTAGCGCTGCGCCCCCTCCGTGTCCTCGTTGCTGGTGAGGAACTTGAGAACGGTGACCAGCCGCTGCTCCTCAGCCTGGGGCGCGTCCTCCTCGAGGTCCTCGAAACCTGGAGCTGTGCCGTCATCGAAGTCGACGCTAGACTCCCGCCGATCTTCTCGCCTGTACCTGCACTCTTGCCTCAATGAGAAAGCCTCAGAGGTGCCACAGGAGCAGGAACACGATGACGGCTGCTTGCAATGCTTGCGCCATTTCCACCACGAGAAATTCTCGGCGCAGAGACTTTTGGAATACTGCGCTGTCTCCGCTGGCCAGCCTGCTCCGTCCACTCCGCGTTGGTCCATGAGCGCATTTTGCATGACACGGTCCAGCGAAGCAGATGTGGCTGAGGAGGGCACGCCGGGCTACGCCGCTTTCCGACGATGTCGTTCTTGAGCCAAGATGGCTTGACCGCGTCCTCCTCCTCCTCCTCCTCTTCTTCTTCTTCTTCCTCTTCTTCTTCTTCTTCTTCTTCCTCCTCCTCCTCCTCCTCCTTCTCCTCCTCCTCCTCCTCCTCCTCCTCCTCCCCCTCCCCGTTCCCCTTCCCCTCCTTCTCTCCCCCCGGCTCCCTCTCGTTCTCCTCCGAGTCCGCCTAATCCTCCTAATCCTCCTCCCTCCCCCCCTCCCTCCTCCACCCCTCCCTCCCCCTCCCCCTCCACCTCCTCCCCCTCCCCCTCCTGCTCGCCGTCCGGCGGGCCGCCCGCCGCGCCTGTCCGCCGCGGCCGCCGAGTTGCAGGCGAAGGGCGGCCGCAGCTCGGCGGCGAGCTGGCGCAGTTCCTGGAGGCGACGGGGGAGAGGCGGAGGGCGACGAGGGGGGAGAGAAGGGGAGAGAGCGGGGGGAGGCGATGAAGGGGGGGAGGGGGGGGGGCGACGAGGGAGAGGGATGCGGGCGGGGGGCGGTGAGGGGGAGTGGGGTGGCGGGGGGGGGGGCTGATCAGAGGAGGGGAGCGGGGGCGACGAGGAAGAGAAGGGGGGGCGATGAGGGGGAGTCGGAGTCGAATTCGGAACGATTGCGAAGCAATATTTGATGAGCGCTCTACGAGCCACCCCGTGACCTCCATGAGCAGCACGAGCATGAAGGGCGACGCGACCAAATGCGCAAACCGAGCCCGACGAAGCTGGCGCAACACACGGATGCCGTCAAGAGTGTCTCCATTGTTGGGGGGTGGAGAGGGGGTTCGGGATGGGGGAGGGCGAGGGGGGCCAAGAAGGGGATGGACGGGGGCAGGGAGGAAAGAGGGGGGCCGATCTGGAAGTGAGGGGGGGGGAAGGGGAGAGGATGGAAGAGAACGGTTTTATTTTTCTTCCTCGTTCTCCTACTCCTCCTCCGTGGTCGTCCACTTCGTCGTTGTCGCCGTTGTCGTCCTCCTCCTTGTCCCTCTCCTTTGCTCCTCTCTCTCCCCTTCTCCCCCCCATGTCCCCAGAGGAGCAGGTGGAGGAGGCGGGGGGGGGGAAGGCAGAGGGAGGAGGACACGGGGGGAGAGGACGAGGGGAGGAAGGGTCCATCCTCCTCCTGCGCCTCCTTTTTTCCCACCTCCTCCTCCTCCTCCTCCTCCCAGTCTTCCTCCTCCTCCTCCTCCTCCTCCTCGTACACTTTTGTCTGGATATTGCCTGGATTTTGGGTGTGCTCTACGGGTGCTCCAGGTTGACGGGCGTAGGATGTGGACGTCAATGAGGCCGTGAAGCGTTGCAGAGACGCTGGCGGGCTCGACGATTGGAGTGGAGTCAGTCCATCTACGCATTTACGTTGGAGCAGATCTCCTGGATGGGGCCAAGCTTCATGAACTCGCAGGAGCCGAATCTTAAGGAGCAGGAGAATATTCCCCGATCGTCCAAACCCTCAGAGGAATGGAGCTCGCCCTTCTCGGGCAAACATCTGTGGCTATCGAGTCTGCCCTCGCCGTTCCTCTCCATCACCTCCTCTCCCTTCCTTTATTCCTCTCTTTCTTTCTTCCTTCCTTTTTGTTTCGCTCTCGCGTGTTTTTTTTTTTTTTTTTTTGTTTTTTTTTTTTTTTTCTTCTTCTTCTTCTTCTTCTTCTTCTTTCTTTTTCTCTCTCTCTCTCTCTCTCTTTTTCTCTCTCTCTCTCTCTCACTCTCTTGTCCACCCCCTCCACTTCCAATCCGCCGACCCCTTGGGGTCACGGCGTGTGAGATGCTCCCCCCTCCCTCCCCAAGCCCCTCCCCCGGGGGCCTGGTCCGGCCGGTTTGGAGGGGGGGGGCAAATCCATCATCCGCACACTTGGAGCCTCAGGAGGCCCCAAATCGGGCCAAAAAGGCTTCAAAGGTTCCCGGAACCGTCCAAGAGAGCTACGAATCGACGAAATATCGCCCCAAAAAGCCTAAGATTGCCTCCACGCGGCTCCAGAAGCCTCCAAGACGCTTGAAACAATATTACGAGGCGCCCCAAAGAGGCCCTCCAGAAGCAAAAATCGTCCCATTTCCTAAAGAAAACGTGCATTTTCACCACATTCGCCCAGTCGGCTTCCACGCGGCGCAAAACGGCTCAAGAAGCCTCCAATATCGACCCTCGCCAGCCCAAGAGGCTCCCCAAAAGACTCCAAGACAGCGTCCGGGCGATCCACGAAGGCCCCAGAAACCATCGCAACGGCTTAGGAAAAGTCGCAGTGCGGTCCCAACAGGGCTCCAAAACGGGCCAAGAGGGCCCCCAAAAGCTGTCCGGACGGCCCACGCGGGGGACGATTCGGTCCAAACTGCCCAATATCGCCGCCAGACGGCCCCATGGGTGTCCAAAACGTTTGAAAACGCGACCACGAGGCGCTCCAAGAAAGCCTCCAAAAGCAAAAACCGTCCCATTCCGTTTGGAAAACGTGCGTTTTCAGCATATTCGCTTCTTGGGCTTCCACGAGGCCCACAACGGCCCAATAAACCTCCAAGATCGACCCCCGTCACCCGAAGAGGCTCCCAAGAAGGCTCCAAGACGGCTTCTGGGCGATCCACGAAGGCTCCAGAAACCATAGCAACGGCCCAGGAGAGCCGCAGGACGGTCCCAAAAGGGCTCCAAAACGGGCCAAGAGGGCTCCCAAAGGCTGTCCGGACCACGCGGGGGACGATCCGGTTGAACTCGCCCAAGATTGCCTCCAGACAACCCCATGGGCGTCCAAGACGTTTGCATACGCGACCACGAGGCGCTCCAAGCAGGCCTCCAGAAGCAAAAACCGTCCCATTCCCCCGGGAAAGCGTACATTTCCAGCATATTCGCTTCTGGGGCTTTCACGGGTCCACAAAGGCCCCAGTAAACCTCCAAGATCGCCAGAATCCAAAAAGGCTCCACGACGGCATCCGGGCGCCCCGAGAAGGCCCCAGAAACCATAGCAACGGCCCGGGGGAACGGCAGGACGGTGCTAAAAGGGCTCCAAAATGTGTCTAGAGGGGCCTCACAGGCTGTCCGGACAGGCCACGCGGGGGACGATTGCTGCCGCCCCAAGGGGTCGGCGGTGTGGCGTAAGCTAATGGATCCACGTCCGGAAGTGACGTGTTGCCGGAGGCAGGTCGCGCAGCGGAGCGGAAGCCCTAATGCAACGTATCCAATGTTTCCAATGATTGCATAATTGCCACATATTGTATTGTGTTACATTATTATGTCTCCCCCTTAATCCCCCCCCAGGGCCGCCGCCGAGTCGCCGACCCTTTTCGTCCACTAATTCAACAACCTACAAAAACCTATGGACATCATTGATTTCGGCCTCTGGGCCCTCCTCGGAGCTCACAAGGGGCGTCAAGACGGCTCAAGATGGCTTCAAGGCGGCCGAAGAGAGTCTCAAAACGGCCTCAAGACGACCCAAAATGGCACCAAGAGAGCCCAAAAGCTCACAAGACGCCGCCAGAGGGTCCAAAGAGGACCCCCCAAGAGCGCCTCCAGAAGCCAAAATCATAGATTTTCCTATGGTTTGGGGAATATTTTCGCGTTCTCGCCTTTCTCGACGCTGACAAGCCAATGACGGCCCAATCACCCTCCAAAAGCACCCCAAGAAACCCCAAGAAGCCCTCCAAAGGGCCCCAAGACGGCCCGAGAGGGCCCCAATACGGCTCAAAGCAACCCCCAAGACGGTCCAAGAGGCCCCTAGGACGGCGAAAAAACATCCCAAGAGTGCCCCAAGGCGGCCGTGGGAGGCCCCCAAGACGGTCTCCGAAGGGGCGAAACGGCGGAAGAGCGCCCATAGACGGGCCAGGACGCCCCCAAGAGGCCCCAATATGCCCCAAATAGGCCCCCAAGGGGCCTCAAGATGTCCCCAAGAGGGAGGCATGGCGGCCCAAACTGCCTCCAAAATTGCCACCGAGAGGATGACACATGCGACGGTCCACGTCCGGACTGCAGCGAAGCGTCTCGGCAGTCCGACAGGACGGGTGTGTGACGCCAGGGCCCAGCCACGATACGTCAAGGAAGGCCGATTGCAAAACATCGCATTCTCATACATTGAAAAGCAACCCACCTTAATCCCCCCCCAGGGCCGCCGCCGAGTCGTCGACCCGTTTCCACGTACTTTGTGAAAACTTAAAAAAAACGCATGGAAGTCATTGATTTGGGCCTCGGGACCCTCCTCGAAGCCCACAAGGGGCGTCAAGAAGGCGAATGATGATTTCAAGGCGGCCCAAGAGAGCCCCAAAATTGCACCAAGACGGCCCAACATGGCCTCGAGAGGGCCCAAAAACCTACCAAGACGCCCCAAGAGGGCCCCAAGAGGATCCCCAATAACGCCTCCAGAAGCCACAATCATAAATGTTCGTATGGTTGTGGGAAGATTTTAACGTTCTCGCCTTTTTCGACTCTGACAAGCCAGTGACGGCCCAAGCAGCCTGCAGAATGCCCCCCAGAAGGCCTAAGAAGCCCCCGAGAGGGCCCCAAGACGGCCCCAGAGGCCCCCAAGACGGCCCAAAGAGGCCCCCAAGACGGTCCAAGAGGCCCCTTCGACGGCCCAGAAGGACCCCAAGAGAGCCCCAAGGCGGCCGCGGGATCCCCCCAGGACGATCTTCCAAGGGGCGATACAACGCAAAAGCGCCCTGTCGCGTGGAAGTTGGTCACGGCGGCGCCCATGAGTAGAGCCGGCGCTGGGAGGGAAGATGGGGCCGCCGCTTCCCTCATCGCCCTCCTCATCCTCCTCATCGTCGTCATCCTCATTCCTATCCCCGTCTTTTCCCTCCTGTTCTTCCTCATCGTCCTCATCGCCCCCTCAGCCCGAGGTTGGAACCTCGACGAGCGAGTCTCCACGTCCCCGCACCTTGGCGGAAATCCTCGCTACGATGGCTGAAGGCAGCACGTTCACGGTGCATTCTAACTGCGTGAGCGGTTCTAAGACACCTCCAAAGAGGCCCCCACCCAAGACACCTCCAAGAGGCCACAAGGAAGCTCCCAAAAGGCCCCGCAACAACTGGACTGTACGTGGTCCGGACGTGCACACCCGCGAAGCGAGAGGAATCCACGTCCGGAGGTGACGTGCTGAGCGGCAGCGTTTTCCGGCGAACGCCTTACTGCAACGTATCCTATTTATCCAATGATTGCATACTTGCCACATGTTGTATTGTGTTACATTATTATGTCTCCCCCCCTACCCCCCCCTGGGAGCTGCGCCACACCGCCGGACCAAAGTGCCCCCCCCCCTCCCGGGGCTCAGGAGCCTACCAAAACTTATAGAAAATCGATGATTTCGACCTCTTGGGCCTCTTGGGGGGCCGAGAGGGCGCCCAGACGGTTCAAGATGGGCTCTGTGCGGGCCAAAACGGCCCCGAGACGGTCCGAGATGGTTCCAGGAGGGCCCAAA